GATCTGTTGAGGACGCGTGATCTTCGAACCATTGCTTGCAGGCCATAACTCAGAGTGCCAGTTTCCAGATAGTATTTCCGTGCGGCATACCCTAGATCGGCCGGCCCGTCTAATTTCATGATTCAGTTTGCGTCTCTCAGTACTCCAACAGAAAGGCTGCAGTGCCCAGTGTATGTACAAATTGAAGGCGTAGCTGACATGCATACCGATGACGACTTCGCAATGTCTGCCCCCAGCCGTTCAAGTGAGAGTAGGCCAATTTATCCAATTTTCGGCTGGGCTGTATGGCCAAGTCGATTGAAAATAAGGCACGCCTAGAGACAGCCCGCGTAACTGCCCGAGGTAGTACAAGCAGATAGCTTGAGCATTTCGCCTGCAAACATACGAGGCTGTATGTAGATCTCAAAAAAAAGGAAAGCCATTCTGACGTATGAATACGAATAGAAATAGCTCATTTTTGATACGGCTGTATTGTGACATCTGTAGTTCATGTATAGATATAGCTGTCAAACAAACTAGTAAGCAGTCGCATATAACGATGTAAAAACGCATGAACTTTATCTATGCTAAGATCGTTCCGTTGAATTCTGTTGTGTATGGAAGCAATACAATATGGTGGTAAATCATAACTCCACTACAGGTCTACGAAGTCAAGGCTAAACTATACATTGCAGTAAAAATGACCGAAAAAAGTACAAAGTTGCAGCTCTTTCGTATTAGTCATGCTATGTCGTTCGGTGGAACCTACAAGCGGTTGGACGTTTTTCGAAGGCGACTAAGGTTCAGGCTCGTCGAAGAGAGGCTGCCATTCAGAGGTAGAAGGGAACGCCAAGTTCGCGAAGTGGCTAGAAGCCTTTAGATTTCGCAAGGAAAAAAAATTAGATTTCAGAAAATTAGATAGTAGACATACGAGATTTGGATTGAATAGGGTCATGCTTTTCTCCGATGTCCCACGCGTTTGCTAAAATTATCTTTGCGCACGACATTGAAATTTACCAGGAGAACAACGACGACACTTTTTAGCTTTCTATGGTGAGTAACACAAATGACTTTGGTGGCAAGAGCCTCTCGTTCTCCCCTTTGTCGTGCTATTCGGGTCGGCAAGTTGCGTTCGAAGCCCACGACATCACCAGCGTTTACGATAGCTTTTCGCTCAGATTGGACAAAATTGTTCTTCGGTTTAGTCTATTAATCGGGCGCGTATGCTTCTGAGTAGGAACGCTGGCCGTATGAGGTATAGCTGTCAGCTTACTGTGTTTCTGATCGAGCTCTATAATGTTGGCCAGCTAGCAAGTTTGCTTTTGTACCACTTAGAACTGTTGGACACGTAACGTTTCACATCAGCTAATTTCGTGATCTAGAGTCTACCTGGAACTCGATTATAACGGCCACTACCACCATTGCCATTCGGAATATTTCATTTTTTTCATTAAAACTTTGAGTGTCTATTCATTAATACAGAAAGATTTGCATATGTCTTATTTATTGTACGAAATAAAACTGATGTAGGAGCAGAGTAAAGGAAAGGAAGACGTAAATTTACAATCTGGACAAAAGAGATCTCTAGTTGAAACAACACGTCAGTTTACAATTGGTACCGACTCCGGCTCCGGCTCAACTATACATTTTTTAATGGCAAAAAACCTTATTTTGATGCACCCCACAGCAAACCTATTTTTGCCTACCCTGCTTGATATTTGCCATTTCACAATTCTGTGCTATCGACATAGCGCACGGAGACCGCGAACTCTGTTCCTAGTTTTGCCAAATAGGACAAATTGAAAATGGAAAAGTAGTGTTATTAACAAAAATAGGAATATTTTTTAAAAACAAGCGCCAAAACTATTCCGCAATTTATGCCACAAGGAGCCCTCGCTCTAAACCGGCGTAATTCACAGTACAGGATCAATGATTTCCCTTTCAAATTGTCTATATCTACATCGACATCGACATCGACCTGGCCCTATTGTATATTCAGCAATTCATCAGTACTATCATGCAAGCTTAAGGCTTGTCCTTTGGGGTCCTTACCGTCCTGCGACGTCATGTTAGCGTTTTCGAGCCAGTATAACAGCTAAAGGTTCCAGTGCCCATGAGGTACGTTTCGTTGCGTTCTATTTAACGTTACGCCTCTAGCCAAAATTATGAAAAATGCGGCTTGAACAAATTGTGCAGATATGTGGAACTACGTAAAGAAGTAGATAATTTTTATTTCTATTCATTCAGCCATTCAGTAGACAAACGGCTCCCTGGACCCTCCCTCGACCTGGACCTTGGTAGATAAGAAGCGTAAATTTTTTCTCAACGTAGACGTTCCGTAACCACTTTTACCTGCTGCTTTTTATAAGTAAGTGGCAGCTGCTTATTAATAAAAAACTGAAATGTGAATGAATTGAAAAATGAAAAAAGATTGAAAAAAAAAAGTAATGGGTTATGTTATTCCTGACTCATTTCAGTGTGCAAAGGCGATTAGCTTATAATGCTAGTACTGATACCAATATGCAATTTGGCATCGGCTGGTGGTTAAAACAGTAAATGTATTTTGTCGAATGTTTAGCCCCAAAAAGGAAAACACTACGAAAATCCTACGGGGAACAGAACCCCATTGTTATTCTCAGAAGATGGACGATTTAGTGATATATCTACAGCATTTCCATCTAAGAGTATACATGAACCACATAAGAACTTTGGCCTCTAGAAAATACTGCCGAATCAGACTGTAATAATTGACCGTACTACGGAAGAGCTGAAATAAACAGCGAAACTCGCTAGTCAAACGGGTCGTAGAAAAATTACTAGTTACCATCATGTCATTTCCATGTATTTTTGTATGTCATTGCGGTTGCCTTCCTTTGATAAAACGTAGGCGTTTTATACGGCAAAAAAGGGCATAAACCTTTTTTGATGTCTAAGAGGTAGTCAGTCACTGCGCTTCAAAATGGTGTTCTGATTGTAATTAGTGGTGCACTCCCACTTCGCTTGCAAATGCACCGTAGGCGGAAGCCGAATCTGAGTCGGGTATCTGCATATCGGGTAAATGCCTAGAGTCGCCTTATCTGGCTCCTATTGAGTAAAGCCTACTGAATCACCCAATAGGTTCTTTCCAAAAACAGACTTGTGTCTAAACGAATTTGTTAAATTCTTGGCACACAAAGCAGAGTACGTCTGCGCCGGAAACACACTGTTTATTCCCAGTTCGCTAGTAACGACACAACACGGCGCGCAGTGCGTGATCCTACCTGCTCTTATGCCTGTGTCGGTACTACGGTGAACATTGCCTCTAACCATCCTTCTTATTGGGAATACGTACCCTTTTCGCCCTCACTTGCAGTCGATATGTAGGTTTATTTAATATATGTAATCATTTTTATGTCACCGCAAATTAATAATTGGTAAATAATCTGTTTGCGTCCATGTGTTAATTAGTCGACAGATGTATGCGTTTTCCTTACACAGTCCAACCCATACATGACCCTTTATTTCTTTTAATATTTGCTTTTGATTTTTTTTTGTGTATTATATAAGAACCGTATTTATGTAGCTGCAAAATAAATTCGAATTATATAGGAAGAAGTTTGGTTGCTTTAACCAATAGCGGTGAAATATGACGCGAGTTTTTGAAAGTGACAGGCAAAGAGGCTGGAATAATGTAGGGGGAGGTGGGAGTTAGTGGGGTCGTGCAGGGGAGTAGTTGAAAATATTGTTGACAAAGTCCCTTCTCGACAGGTAGATAGAACAGGCAAAATGAACGGCATATTAAGTCCTTAGATAGTCCTCGATATCTGTGTCACTTGGAAATTAGGGATGATCTCGGTAGAGTTTGTTTTCTCTCTAAGATTTACCCCTCTAAGCCCGTTCGTCCGCTGCTATATAAGTGCACACATGCACCATATACACTTTGTTAGTGCGCTCTTTCTCCATCGATTGACGAAAGGCGGAATAAGGACGCCGGGAGTTCGTGCCTAGGTTTCTAGCGGGAAAAGTTCAGATTGAGAGTTACAGTCGACATCAGCAGCGGACGCCTCAGCGGCTTCCTCGCCACCAGTCGTACTATCCGTACAGTCTTGTGCGAAGTGTGTGACTAAAAGCGAACCTTCTCAAACTTTGACGGACCTTGCCGTTCTCAATTACCCGTTTACTACTCCAGCTTAATATTGCCAACTACGAGAAGTGCTTAAAATGCCCGAGGCTCTGTAAAAGATTGCGGTGCGACCGATGCTGAGGGTGTTTGAATGCTGGCAGAACTCGATAGTTTTGAGGAGCTGAGAAGTCTTTTCCCCTATGGATGTGCTTGTCCTGTGGGAGGCTCTAGGCAATGTCCAGTCGCTCACAGGTCTAGCTGGACTTAAAGCCCCCTCAGGCGATAATGTCGGTTTGATTGTTGTGCAGGCCATTGAAAATCTAGCGAAGTCAGAACTAGCTCGGTAATCTCCTTGAAGTAGACCTTGGATGATGTTGATCAAACTCATGCTGGTAGTATAGGTTCTGGTAGCAGCGACGTTCGAATGCAGATACGTTACCTTTATAGCATCGTCCGCTTACTTGTGTGTTTTTTTCCATCTAGACAATTGGAAGTCAGTGAACTTTCATGATGACTTTTGTTATTTCTAATAGTGAACCCGCATGCACCAGCCGTGTCACAGTAGCAACTTGCCTACTTCGTTGTCCTCCTTCAGAAATGATACAACTACATAGGATCTGACGAAAATCGTAATTACATGGTCTGGTTGCTGTCGAAATATGGGTTAATATTATAGCTATATACTATATAGTCGAACAGCCACACGTCCATGAGCCCACTATATACAATCCGAGCCGTACTCAGGAGTATCAGGCTTATTTTTAGAAGCCATTCTTACAATAATAACGCAAGCCTGCGAATAAGTCGATCGAAGTCTGCTTTGATTTTCGAAAATCTCGATGCAATCGTCCGTCCTAGAGACATAGAATATAAGGTGGTAATAGCAGCTGAACCCCCTCAACACCTGTGTTGTCTTTTTTCTACACACGCAGTGACCGCTGTATCGGTAGCCTTTTAGGTTGTGTCAATACGGAACGTCATCTTGCCGCAATAGAGCGCACGTGTCCAACTAGCAGTTGTATACCCAGAACTGTAACAGACCATAACAATTTAATCTAGCCCGAAATTACGAGTAAATACAAATAAAGCCAGTGAGGTAAGTGGCGCCAGTGCGCGAAACCTGTATGGTGTTTTAGCCTTGTGGAAAAGTAGCATTAGTGGCTTGTACAATATAATGTATTTTCTTATGGGTACCTTACTAGGTCACAGCATTAACAACGGTGAACTACCTGTCCTAAAAATTCCGTACAGTTATTAGCATAAGTCCTACCCAAAGGTGTTTTTTGCATAGATATCTATATTACTGTATTCTTGATGTTTGCTCAGGCCTATTTTTCTGGTCCTGAGTGCTTCTCTACTATGAATTTTACTTTAATGCATTAAGAAGTTGTTTATTTTTATATGAAAATCGATATAGTAGTGGTTTTTTTTTCATCGTAAAGGTGAATGCTAGCCACGAAACGTTCTAGTTGCCCTGGTCACATATTAAAAGTATCGGTAGCTCTTGCCCATGCTTAGCCTGTTGTCATATCTCGTCAAACGGCCCGGACGCTGCAAGCTGCTTTGTCTTCACAGTGTTGACCTACTTTATGCCTGCAGCGATATCTGCTGACTCGTTTGATCGATAGGTTAGGGAGGTTAAAGCAATAAGTATCCGTGCAGGCCACAGGAAGTTGACTACTTTTTACCGACGTCAATGAAAGATGCATGCGTAGGTTTAGGAAGGGGCTCTACCCAGACATTATTTGCCGCCTTGTTAGAGCGTACGATATCTTACCTACATACGCATGCGATAGTGTCACGGCTATAATTGGTTGCGTACTTTGGCGAGCTCAGTCATGATATAGTTATCTGGTTCGATAACAAAATATTGTTAATTGCCTTTGTTATAGCCAAACTGACTGATATTCTTCCAGGATTTAACTAGACTGGTTTAGGTAAGTTCCATTCAATTAGGCGTTGTAATTCTATTCTCGATCCTTTTCAATATTTTAGAATTTGAGTCGTGCCAAAGTGTTTGTATCGTAAACGATTTCGAACGTATACTAACGATGTAAGAGATCTATCGGACAAGTAGAGTTTTATTAGCCATAATGAGGTCTGTGTTTACGTAGCTGGTTGGGTATACTACTACCTCTACATATTCGGGTCCATTGTAATCCTAGTAAAAGAACTTGAAGAAAAGGTCTATTCCATAGGACTACAGCGAATAGGGAAACATTCGAGCCTCTTGAAGATCTTCGTCCTGCTAAATATGTCTGGCTGGGAGAAACGTATACAGACATCTTTGGGTGGATGGAGGGCATAAAACACGAAGCAGATTTCGAATAACGCATTATTACTTCCTATAATATATTCACAGTCGTTTTTGAAGATACGAATTGACCAGACAACGGGTGCATGTCCATTTAAGTTGAAAGTGTGATAGTGAGATGGCCTTCCTAAGATCCCTATACTGCTCATAGATAAAAATACGGGCGCGGAATATTGACGAGCTTTGGAAGAAATATCAAAACCCTATTGTCCCTGAGGAAAAACGCTAGGTGCAGGCGATCGTTTGAGGTATGATTTCAGAGTTCATCAATATACGTGAGATGATATAGGGGTCCTAAGTATGGTGCATACGAAACAGGCAGTAAAAGCTATTATTTAAGCGTGTATTTAATTCTTACAATGGAATTACACCATAACTACCATAACTATATATATATATATATATATAAATATAATGAATATGAGATATATACATTTGTTACTTTATAACCATCTCGCATTTTACTAATAGATAATTCATTATATTTTATACGTACAGCTTCGTATCACAAACGTGCTTATTTTACATAGCATTAGCGGATGATATCGGCAATGCTCGATGCAGGCCAAGCGCTTGTCGGTCCATACAGGTGCAATGTTGCGCCTATGTACCGCTTTTACTGACAGTCCATAGAAGCAAGAAGATGATTAAGATCAATGTTCCATCAACTTTTGAGATTGTCTTTAGGCTATCTTTGGGGGAAATGAAAGCTTGAGGAGCAACAGCCAACCCCAGCTCAATTAGTAGAGGAAGAAGGCAGTGGATTGCATTTGGCATTGAATAAGCAGGTTTTGTATGCCCTACACTAACGTATGCTTGTACCACCACGGTCACAAACGAACGGAGCTTCTGCGGAGAACTCATGGACCCTTTACCGTCAAAGGCTGAAGCAAAAAAGCATTCTGCCTGGACGAAAGCATGATAGCTAACTTCAAGCAGATAAGCGAACTGCGACGGGAAAGTGCCCAGCTAGATTCTCGCTGACTAGCTTCTGCGGACGGCGAAGCAGTGGCAATGGTTTCAGTGGCAGAACAAAGCATATTGGCAATGAAAACCAAATAATGCTTGAACCGATCTTAGTTAAGTCTTATGGGTGTTCGAACAGAGCGACACCTACACCTGCACCTGCTCGTTTGCAAAGCCATAATGTTGACGCATGATCTCATCAAGTTGATACTATGAGAGTCAAGCACTAGAGGAAGAAACGGATAGCGCTGGAAGAAACGGTGTTATATACCATTTAATCATCAACTAGTTCTATAAGACTGTAACAATGCAAACCATATAAGGTCCTCTCCGTCATACCGCTTATTGTTATTGTTTTTCGACTCGTAATTGAACTTTTCGACTCATTCCCGTTCGCTAAAGATATTCCTTAACAATACCAGTAGCGTCCTCCTAAATCGTAAATCATCGAATACTTCAAATATCCCAGCAAATTACCTCTGCTGTTAACCGGTCTTAATCCTCATAGACTTACACAGATCTACGATGGGATCATGGCATGCCTGATGGTGGATTTCAAAAGCTCAGGAAACAATCTAGGCCTAGGTAAAAAAAACATCGTGTGATTTGATAATAGTAGTTACACCGAAAGCAAGGGAGGGTAGATGATTCTGTCATCGAAAATTTGGCTTCTTTAACAGTTTTCCCAACGAAATGTAGGGAGCAGTACCACGCGAGCACTACGATTTATAAGGCCCGAGTCAACAGTCACGTGGTTCCGCAAAGTCAAATTGAGAAGGTAAGCAGATTCTCGTTTTAGATACACTCCTACAAAAAAAAAGCGCGTAAAACCTGTTTTCTACAAAAACACATGATTGGCAGCCACGCACCATTAGTCGTACCGGATTTGAAGCATGTCAGGGATAGACAATCGAGGTAGACCTTATATCTTAGTAAGGCCGTTTAAAGACTATCGTAGACTAAATGATCGTGGCACATCTATGTTGGTCCGGGTAAATTTATGGCGGTGTCCAAATTTGGGCGCTTTGTGTCCAGATATTGTAATACATTACTATTCGTCCAATGGGAATGCTTAGCAATTTGCGTACAAAGGACTTGTTTAGCGTAAACGTAACGCTATCACACGAACGAGTGTTACCGCAACCCGACGTTCGATTTACCAAGCGAACGTTGCCTGCCTCAATCCAGTTTGTACAATATATTTTTGAACGGATTCTGTTTGCTATTTGTATGTAGTCGTATACATGTGGGCTATTAAAAAAATACGCGTTCTGAGAGACGAGTAGTCTAAAAATAATGCTTTGTAATCGAACTTCGAGTATGTTGGCCGTATACTTTCTTGAATATATATATATATATATATAAATCAAAGAAAAGACAAAAGCAGATATTTAACGTTGTCTTGTTCTTTGACCATCCCGCACATACGCGCGTATGTATATCGAATGATGGTGGAAAGAACATATGTTGTCGATCGTTGTAATCAGATTAGATCGCAAATATGCGTAAAGGGTAGGGAAGAACGCTGAAGTGCAATGTATTTGCACAAGAGGCTAACGCATCTTTCGGGCCAATTCGGCTTTCATTTGTAGAGCACCCACCCTGCCGTTTCACTTACAGATTGTTATTACATCATCTCCTGTTATAAAGTGGTTTACAAGTGATCCGGGTTACAGCTGCAAAAGCGGTCCGTTGTCTGAAGATTTGTGACATCGACCTTCGGATCTGTAATCTCCTCGTTTGAGGCCCGCTTCTTTCGCAAACAGCTTGCCCTCAGACGTCTTTACTCGTATCCGTCCCCGGCTGTTTTTCAGTTGTTAGCAACAATCTGCAAAGCCCAGCACTGACATGGGCAAGTCCTATACCGGCTACACCTCATTCCCGCTCTGAAACCTTCGGCATCTTCCGTCTAGTTCCCGGACGCTTTAATCGGAACCTTTGAAGTCTGATTGAAAAAGAGGGACGAAGGTAAAAACAGCCTTTACAGTCTGTAGGCTACCACCAGTCGCTACTCCACTAACAATTACTGCGCCGGGTGGGATTCGTTATACTGCCGTATTCCCCTGTTTACTTTGGCCCGCGACGTATGATTCCCCTACCGTTGATACAGCCCGCCTCGTTTAATATTCATACGATTCGTGGCGTCACCCGTTTCCACTCTGAATTTACTAGCGGGTAAAGTTAGATAAGAAGAGCCAAAAGACAGATTTCAAACTCTGATCTAGAAATGAAGGATTCGTAAGGCAGATAACGCCAGCAACTCCGCAAGTTGCAATAAAGTGACAGAAGTACCCATACAGAGAGAATTTAACATGCACGATTTACTGCACAAATGAGACTAGCCCGCTTGGAAAATGCTTAATAATGCGAAATTAAATAAAGTATATCTTTTTCGCATTTGGCTAGTTTTATAAGGACTGGAATGTGCAAGCGCAACATCTGCCATCTATGGAGAGTCCTACCGCATAGTGTACTGGCCTTCGTCGCTCCTAAAGATCACCTGAATAAAATTATCAATTATTTTATATAGGGTCTCCGTTTCTTAGGGCTGACGTGTTAACGCTTCTTCCTGTTTGGATAATTCTTGCGATTTCGTAGAGCAGTGAGAAAATATTTTTCACTGATCTAAATACTGGAGCTAGGACTCGTCTGAGAAGTAATCAAAGCAGGCTACTTAATTCCATCGGTTTGCCTCTTCTGGAATCACTATTAGGAAGGGGGTCCCCAAGGACAACGCGGAGGCAGAACCTCATTCAAACCAGCTTGAATGAGCAGAGAGGCTAATTATTGCAGTCCAAGTAGGTATAAGGCGTCGTTCTCTCTGCCACGCCTATGTATCGAGTGATACGACGCATTGCTCTGTTTCCCGTTGTCGCGGATGCGCAAGTTTACAAGTATAGTTCTTCTTATTGCATTTCAAACAAATTCGAAACGCTTAAATATGGCAGAAAGGTTGAAACCAGTTTAGAGGTTTAGAAGGGTGTAAGCCACCGTCGTAACATTACTATATAGATGGTACAATATAAATAAAAGCTATAAACCAGTAACAGAAAAGACACAGGATACTGTTAACTCTCTTCACGTTATACTACCATAGTTACCCCAGCTAGAATAAAAGGAGTGTGTTGAGCTTTGCTTGGCAGGAAACATATCGAGGGTCTCCTAACAAAAGGACGTAGTTCCACTTCCTGTCGATTTTGAGTTTTTTTCTCAACGCTTCATTTCGATACGTGTTACGATACCGCAAACGCTGCAAGGGCGATATTTGCCCAACTCTGTCTAAGACGCAGCCCAGGTCCATAGATAATTCTAGCTTTAAAAAAAGACAAATAAAACTTTATTGTCTACTGTTAATCAGAGAAAAGTAGATTTCTCGATTTTAGACGATGGCATTTAAAGTCACTTACGACCCCTTTGCTGATTAGCGACAGTCAAACCCAGGTGACCACTGAACTACAGAGACTAAGACCGAGACTCGATGGATTGCGACATTTTTATCGCCGAACCTTTGTGAGTGTACTGCAAAAGGAGTAAAATATTTGTGCTGCATTATTTAGTTTACGGCCAATTGGCACAATAGGCCAGCGTTAAGTTTAGGTTGTAATTTCTCCCATTTAGTGTACTTTCGATGACCAGGAAAGTTGAAGCCGACAAACCGCTGTCGGCGACGTGTTTCGGGAAGGAGCAACGAAAAAAAAACGTTTTGTCCTGACAGAAATTAGTACGTCCCTTGGGCGCCGTAAGGACTAGCGACTGTGAGCGATATGCACGGCTGACTGCTTCGTTCCAGCTGAATAGCTTGACTTTGACGAATGTTAGGCACGGAAACGTGCATGCATGTTTCTCGAATTAGCAAACAAACCGCATGACGCGAATGATCACCTGTTACCTCTTGTCGTTTTTATCTCGGGCACATACTTTTATACGTAGCTTATTGCCACCTTACAAAAACGACAATCATTAGAAAATAATTGCAAATATTGCTACTTCAAGCTAAAATTGCCGATTTACAATGCGGCTTAGCGAATCTGAAATTGAACATAAGCGACGTTAGATCAGTAAATAACTGTGATCTGAGACTGAATTTCGGAAACGTTACATTTATATATTTTAGGCCTCTGTTTGAAAACGTCTTTCAGTGAACGACGAGGGCACAGAGCAGCTGTTGGCGTACGTATTTGTTTATGTTGTTATTATGGAAGGCAGACCCTCAAATTTTCGTGAGTAGGAAACGTAATAGAAAAATTAGAGAGGTTACCTAATAAAAAAAAAGCTCTGAGAGGTTCCGGTAATCGCGGGTAAAGCAGGCGCACGGCGAACGGATAACTATGCATTAGAAACGAGAAGAAGGATGAGAGGTAGGATCAAATAGGGCAATAACAATCGTGGGCACCGCTTTCATTGAAAGCGTCGCCCCAAATCATAATCGATCTATCAACCGACGCGTCCGAAGAGCGATTACTCTTCATGACTTCATCAATTTCTTGTTTAGAATATGAAACAAAAGCAAGGACGATAATAAAAATTGTAAATGCATACATCGTATGGCCATATAAATAGCCGTTTTTGTATTCATTCAGCAGCGTCTTGCTATGTAAGACCTACTAAATTACGGTCCATTTCGTAAACTATTGCTCAATATAGTAATTCCGTATTGCCGCACCGCTAGCCGCCAGAACTGACGAACATTTTCCTCCACAGCTATGTATGTGGCTAAATAAACAAAATAATATGTACAATATTATTTAACCATTAGTTTTTCATATATAAATTTTATTTAGATCTGCTGTTGTTCGTATTTGGTAAATAAGATCATTTACTATATATACTTATTTGTACGACGAACACCCGGTGACCGGTGTGACTAGGAGATAGGAAGTTCACTCGAAAAAATCATAGACTCGGTTAGGAAATGTCTAGCCTATTTAAAATATGCTTATGGGATAAAATCATCTTTGCACCAAATATAGTCGCTAACAATAATAAACGCCAATGACTGTAGTTACTCTGTGACGATGAATCGTGGCAGTTTCCTTGCATACATGCTTACGGCATCAGGGTCACGGTTTTTATGCTCTGAATGCCTTCGTCGTTGATCGCTCTTGTATACGTCGTTCTATGTTCCCGTCGACGTTGGCCTACTCTTTTTCAGACCTTCGTCTAGCTATTTTCGAGCTTTCTCTTCTCCCAGAGACCGCACACTGAAACGTGAGATGTCGAGGTACACCACCTGATCCACTCAAAAGGTCCTCAACGCATATCTGTACTGCCTCTTTTTTTTGCCCTCTCACATAGACGGACGTATCGACCTATCGAGCCGCACCGCGGGTAGCAATAGCTGCTGCAGGTGGCGGCAGTGATTACGGCAGCATCTTTCAGCAGCGTCGTAACATAGCTGCTGACTTGACCGCTTAGCACCAAAATGTGTTCGAGTTCGAGCGTAAAGCACGGAGCGGTACGGGAGTGGTAAACGAACAGCATCCATACATATTGGTGGCAGGTAAAACGGGACAAGAAGAGACGAAATAGCGAAAAGCATGATGCCTCTTCAGTCGTTTATCTGTCGCGGCCGCCGTACAAAGAGTGCGAGTCTTTGTATCGTTTGCTTTGCCTATAATAGTGGGCAAATTCGGATCAGTAGTTCAAAGGTGTGCATATTTTTTCGCATTCCATTCGGAACTCGATCAGAAAGTAATACGAAGTAAAAAAACACGTTGATTTTTAAGAAAGCACAATTTGTTCCAATTATATTACAGAGATACAATATGAACATCTAATTATTCCCTACGAGGTGGTTACCATTTATGTTAGTTATAGCGGGTAAACTTTAATCATTCCTAACAGGACAAAATCTATCCTACTTCCCTAATTTTTAGCATATGTTGCTGTGTTATGTGCCAAGGGCGATAGTGCCATATTTGCTTACTTTCAATATGTTTTTTTAAACCAGCCTGCCCTGTTTAGTTGTTTCGCACTTATTAACTCACTATCGTTGAGTATTAGTCAGTAGAATCAGAGGAATCCCAGAAGAAGTCTGGAACTCGGAAGATTAGCGTTTTCTATGAACATAATAGCAGCAGCCTTAAAAGGCAGAGATGATTCGTCTGAGTTTCGGAGGCGAGACGCAAGCGTGGCGGCGCTGTATTTCCAGCGGCAGTAGTTGTTTCTCGTTAATCGTCATGTGTCGTTGGCAGCGGTAGAGCAGTGTGGAGTACGACCTGTCTGGCGTGAGACGGATCTCTAGTTAGGCTGGTGGACATTCGCTTGCCCAGCCTCTTGACTAGCCGGTTCATCAGACGGTGTTCCATTTCTGTGAAAAAGCCTCTCTTGCAGCGACGAAAGATCCTGTACATACACTGCTGTAGGCCATAGTCGGCTGGTCTTAACCGCCCTTATAATGTAATAGTACTAGTAGTCCCTGTCGTAAAACATGCGGTGGAAGTCATGGAAGTGGGTACTAGCAGCATGCGGATAGTGAGAGGAACTTTGGAAGCTGGATCTGAAGGGATTGAACTGCAGGCTCAGCTTTCTGCCCTTCTCGAAGAAGAAAAACAAAGTAATCAGCTACGCTCGCTCGCTCGCCCGCCCGCTAACTTCTCGTATCCTTATCAATATTCGATCGGCGTTGCCGCGCGTTGTGCCCCCTCAACTCCTTCTACGCTGCTGCTGGCCTCGTTCTTACCACTGCTATTCTCTGCAGGACCTCTGTTTGCTCCAGGCTAAGGCCTTTTGCTTTTTGCAGCGATCAGTTCAACGGTCAGCGATCGGCTGCTGCTGTAATGGCCATCCCATATAGTTTTCCAAAACGTCATCAGAACTCACACACAGTTTTTTCTTAGAAGCGTGCATGGAGTTTCGGCCTAAGCGTTGCGTCCGTCTCGAGATCAGGTTCTACCGCTCATTCTCGACGGAGCCGATTGAACTGCAGTCTAGTGAAGTCACGGCAAATTATAGACCGAGTGTACAGCGCTCGCGAAGCCAGCCTAACCCAAATCAGTTAATCAACCTATTATTTCTAACATAGATATCTATGATGTACAAAGTCGACCAGTCCAGTTTGGCAGCGGTCGTGCACAGATACGTTCCTTTTTATAAGCATCAGCATGTCTATGTGCGAAGCGTACTTCATGTAAAATGTGCGCGCCGAAGCCTAGTAATGCAATACCTTATCGAAAATGGACCTCATGTTTGGGTTATAATATTTCTATATTCTGTTGTACTCGTTACACAACGCAGACTATATATTTTTGTAGTGCAACAAGCGCTATATCTAACTTAAGTATTGCCGTATGACGTTACGTATTTTGGTATTTAGTATAGAAATTCACGGCCTGCCATAAGCCTATTAAATTTAGTATGTTTTTGCTTTGGGAGGCAGGGCAGGTTTGAGTGTGGGTCAAAAAAGGCCAACCTCTGTTGGTTATCGCAACGAATGGGTTTTGCATGACGCTGTTATTG